GAGCTGTCTGGATGTCAGAGTAAGTTCCGAAGTTCTCTGAATGAAGACTCTAGCAGTAATGTGAAGGATGACTTGCTTCAAGAACGGGAAGCTGAAGTTAGCAACTTAAGGCAAAATCTTTCAGAAGTAGAAGAGCTCAATGAAAATTTAAAGAAAGTTGCTGTTGATCTCAAAAGGGAGAATGAAATGTTCATTTTAGCATGTAAAGATGTAAGACGTAAGTTGGAAGCATCTATTGCTGCTAACAATCAAGTGTCTCAAGAAAAAGACACTGTCAAGGAGACTCTAATAAGAGACAAAGAAGAGATAGAATCCGAACTGCAACAGGCAGAAAAAAGACTGTTGGAAGAAGCAAAGAATCACAGGCAGACTATTCAGGAACTCTCCAATGCATGTCATTTGAATACCTCTGCCTTTCAGCTAAAACCTGATTGTGTAGTTCAACTCAAGCAAGAGAAGGACTTTGAGATAGCAGGACTCAAAAAGAATATTGAACCAATGACTACTGATCCAAAAGAAACTGAGGAAATTTTGGAACCTCATGTCGAAGAACAGAAGCAATTGATACAACTTATAAAGGAGAAAGAAGTTTTTATTGAAAAACTCAAAGAAAAATGTTCAGAACTACAAAAGGATTTAGATGAGTGTTCTCAGGCCTTAAGAGAAAATGAAACTTTAAGGCAAACCATAGAAGAAAAGGACAGAAGTCTTGGCTCCATGACAGCAGAAAACAACCATCTGCAAGAAGAATTGGAGAGCCTTAAGGAACAGCAGAATCGAGCTGTACCTGTGGCTGAGCCTAAAACCCTTGATGGTATCCCAGAAGTAGAATCGGAGGTGTATCAACTGAAAATAGTCAAAAATCATCTGGAAAATGAAATTAAACACCATCAAAAGATAATTACAAATCAAAACAAGCGTAAAATGCGACTCCTTCAGTCTTTACAGGAGCAGAAGAAGGAAATGGATGACCTTAAACACCAACATGAGCAGCTGAATGCTGCGCATATCCAGTTAATTTTAGAAAAAGATGAGGAAATTAAGAACTTGCAGAAAACGATTGAACAAATAAAATCCCAGTTGCCTGGAGAAAGACTCGATGCTCAAACAGAGAATTCTGATATTTTTCAAGAAACAAATGTAAAAAGCCTCAATAGAGAAAGTGGAAGTGAACAATGTGACCTATGGAACGAAAAGAAGTTGTTGAAGCAAACAGTAATATATCTAAAGGGGAGAATATTGATTTTCGAAGTGGACTTTTCTAAATTAAAAGGGGAAAATGAAAAATTGAGAGTAGCATCCAAAGAAAAGGAAAGGGAGTATCAAGCACTACAAGAGACAAACTCAAAGTTCTCTGTGAGGCTGGGAGAAAAAGAATTGGAGTGTGAGTCAATGAAGGATAAAGCTCTTGCTTTTGAGCAACTGTTACAAGAAAAAAGTCAGCTTTCAAATGCAGTTGCATCAATGCAGGAGAAGACAGTTATATTTCAGCAAGAACGAGACCAAGTCATCGTAGCACTAAAACAAGTACAGATGGAAAACAGTACTCTCCAGCACGAGGTTCAACAGTTCCCTGACAAAGAACTACGCTTGAACCGGGAGCTAGAAAGGCTACGCAGCCATCTCTTGGAATCAGAAGAGTCTTATACCCAGGACATTTTGGCTGCAGAAGACCACGAGATTAAACTGAAAAAGGAAGTCACGCTTTTGGAGGAAAAGCTAGTGTCATCTTCTAAGGCAAGTCATCAAGCCAGCGTGCAGATAGAGTCACTGCAAGAACAGTTGAGGTTGGTCTCTCAACA